ACGAAGTGAGAACGTTGAAAAATAGATATGGCTTGACCCTTCCTTTCGCTGCATAGATCATCACAGAAAGAACAACAAGGATACGAACGACAGCTATCATCAGACGGGTCGAGATGTTCAGCTTCCTCAGGCCATATTTGACCTACACAAAAAGACGCAAATGAAACTAAGTGTTGTCGTCCATGTTCTCGTAGATTCGATTACAAATGTGCATAGTTTGAACGACAACGTACCTGATAGAGCTCGTGAAATGTGGTTCCAGTATGTTTCTCTGACACCCATGACTCCCAAAATCCAATAGATATGGCGAATAAGCCGATCGGTAGAACCCAAGCCCCCTGAAAAAGATTCATGCCCTCCCAACCCTAATGAAAAAATGAAGTCAAACTCAGCAGTGCCTGTTATATAAGCCCGTTAGGTTCGAGTGGAATAGTCGCAACTGACCTGCCTAGGGTCAAACATGCTGTAGTTTAGCGTACCCTAGATGCGGCGACAGATGGGTGAAGCGTTGCAAACGTGCACCTCATTCGCACCAGAAACCAAGTCGATCGTGGCAATGTCGCAAGTGTTAAGTCAACTAGCTAGCAAACATTTAGTTTTCGCGCGATGCCGCGACTGAGGAGCTCTGTGCTACACTCGAACCATAGATTTCATGCACTTCTCCCACACCTCTGCTTGCTTCAGTCCAAATGATGTCATGAAATGAAATTCGTCGCTACCATAGTAAGGGCCGCACCGCGTCGCAACCATGTTTGCTCCTCTCCGCTCTCTCGAAAGGTAGTGATCTTTTCGGCTCCGCAGGCGAAGTAGTTCATACTCCTAGTAGGTGTTTCGAGCGTTTTGAGCGAAAAGTTCGAAATGCTAGAAAAAACACCTACCATCCTTTGGAACGCTGGAGCCTGACAGGCCAAGTTATTAGGTTGTTCGAAAAGTCCTGCGACACTTTGACCAATTTTTCGGACTAAATTTTCAGTCACTAAAAGACATCTCCAATCTACAAGGTAATCACCACTAAGGACTAGGGCTAGTGCCCTTCTCTTGCACAGCTTCTCATTTCCATTCTTATAGAACTACGGCAACTATGATAAGAAGAAGAGGTGGACCTCATTTTTGAGTAGACGTCGATTTTCGGAATTTTTGCCTTCTTAAGGATGCGGTAGGGATCAAAAAAGGTAGTAGTTAGAGACTGCTAACTTTGATGAATAAGCTGGGTATGGTTGCATTCTCAGATCAAGATCCACGATCTTTTGGTGTGGCCTGATCCTAACATGCGGTCTTCGCATTGCCGAGCGGTAGAGAAAAATTGAGTATTTTTGAAGAATTCAAGCGTGACGTCATCCATGTTGTGAGGTTGGTTAGAGTGGACTGTAGTCCTTACGTTATGCTAGTATCCAGAGATACCGCTTTGAAGTCCCACCAATAACCTACTGAAATCTTTATCCCATGCACATCTGCTTTTGGCTGTGCAATCTACTTTTCTCTCTGAGAGATCCTGCGAGGAACATGTGCAAGATGTACGCAAGGACCCCACCACTCTCTACCAACCACAAGATCTCACAAATGTTCCTCCAGTGTGTACAAGGAAAAAAAACTCAGTCACGGTCATTCGGTATGACTTGTCAGAGGGGTTCAACTCATGAGGCATCCTTCAATACCGAGACTGCGGAGAAGCATGGCAGTTGTCAGTTAGGTGGAGCCTAGAGAGGTTGCCAACTTACTGGTGGTTACGTTCGGCTGCGCCTCAAGAAGCTTGAGTAAAGGGCCGTCATTCTGTGCTGGTGGCCGACCTATACATTGCCTACTTCCGAGTTGAATAAGTCCAGCCTGGAAGCGCTGATGCAAAGAACTCTCTGCTATGGCAAGCGATATCCTTCCTCAAGACAACGTAAGTGTTAGCTTCCTCGACTATGGCGGAGTTGCCCTACAGGAAACACTTAACACGTTGAACGCCGCGGCGTTTTTGCGGCGACTCCCGTTTTGACTTCCTGCGTCTCCGCGCGCGTGTATTGAATGCAATACACGAACGCGCGAAACGGGAGTCTTTGTGCCGCATACCCCTTTACACGCTCATTCTGGTCACTTTTTGCGCTCATTTCTACATTGTTCAGTATGAATAATGACTTCTTTTTGCTGCATAGATGGATCTGGACAACGTAGAAGATTTAAACGTCAGTTTTTACGACATAAGTATTGGGTTGGCCCCACAAGTAATTGAGTTTTTTTGGTCACACAGCCTAGGCTTACGACACAATTTTTTATATGAAAAACGACAATTGTTCCCAATATGTTCTATAATGTTTGATAGATAATTTCCTGCTCTATATGATAGTGTGGTTGCTCCCTACTATTTCATGGTTTCCGTTGATTTGTATTTCATTAAATGGAAAATTCGGGTCGCGTGGGGGGGGCATCTTGCTTGCGGAACCCATCCACTAGGTCTTGAACTTCTTCACTCGAACGGAGGTGATGCTTGATAATGACAAGGAAGTATTCTAAGACCTTTCACACGATTCCTTCACCCTTGGCATGATTCTCAGTTAACAAGGTGATTCCGTAAGCTTCCAGTCTGACAGAATAGGGCATTAGGTTCGATGCTTGTCTGTGGGGTCGAAACTGAAATCTTCGAATCACTTGAAGTTTTACTAATATTCCTACGAGACGTAGCCTTTTAGCCATATACTTACCAGCTGGACCCATGCGGTTTTAGCTTTAATTAGGGGCATAAATGAGAGGCTGTCGAAAATGCTCAATTTCGTTAACCTGACACTCCATTTTTATCACTGAAATACTAATGGAAAAAGAAACTTGAAGGAAACTAGGAATACTATTCTGTAGGGCAAGGAGCTCTCTGCCAAGTGGTATAAAACTCAGTGGAGAAACTTTACTTCTTCAGCGCGATTTCGAGTGAGAAAAAAACGCCATTACTTATGGGGCGACCCAATATTATTATCATAACGACTTAAACACTATCAAATGTATTGTAAATTAACATTTGTAATTATCACTAGAAGTCTTACTACCATTGTGGTGATGCGGAGCAATCATAAGAAGTGCAATTACTTAATGTTATTTTGTAATGTTAATGAATTACCCCAATGAGCAGCTTATTTCACGCCATCAAGAACTAAGCATGAGTAAAGCTCATTGAACATATACTCGGTGAGAATGGTTCAATTCGCACTATTATCCACGAAAAAACCGACCAACAAAACGTGAATTGTGGGCAATACACAAACGCGAGAAACGGGAGTATGCGCGTGTATTGATATCAATTCACGCGGCGTTCAATGTGTTAATATGGGATCAGGGTCGAAAGTACCTCGATCTCTGAGGTATTTTTAAGCTTTAAAACTTCCACGGAGCCATGATATACCCATTTTCAGAAACCTCAGGAGACAGTCTCCACTAATCAGAGATAAAAACATTCAAAATGATTTTTGGTCTTTTTCTAGAATAGTTCAAACAAAGTGTCGCAGGACTTTTCGAACAACCTAATAGTTCATACTGCTAGTAGGTTTTTCGAGCGTTTTGAGCGAAAAGTTCGAAATGCTAGGAAAAAACACCTACCACCCTTTGGAACGCTGGAGCCTGCTTCGAAGTGCTCGAAGCGCTTAAAACGCAGACGAAAAGTATGAACGCAGCCAAAGGACGTAGAGAGCCAGAGTCGCGCGGCATCCTTTTGGAGCGCGGAGGAGTAGACTTGATGCGACCGCAGCAGCGCGAAATAAATTTTTTGTTTTTTTTTTTTTTCATTTAGAAAAACTCACGTGAAAAGGTGTTTCCATAACATTCCACAAATAAGTAGCACTGAAAAGGGCGAGAAAGAGCACAAGATGAGGCAATGTAGTCGTTGATAAAACTGAAAAACCAAGTCCATCAAGAATGTAGTGGAAAACCAGGAACATCCAAGTCTCAAATTTTGCCATGAACTGCAAAGATTTTTTCGCTAATTTCTTCGGGACAAGTTGGTAAACCGGCGTACTCACACATTCTTGTGCCAAAGGAACGACCAGGCTTAAAGGTTCTCGAAATAGTGGACAGAAGCTGTTGCAACGCTGTGATGATAGGGAAACAGGCACATAGACACAAACATCGATATAGATCCAGCTGCGGAAAAACGGTGAAGATGAGTAAGGACAGTCCAGAAGCTCGTAGGAATTCCAACACGACAAACTGAAAAAGTTCGATCAGAATTTGTAGTTTGATAGATTGCCCCTTTTCTGAATGTAACTAAAAATCCTGCAAATTTACTCACAACCGCTCTTACTCGTCCTGCTTTATCGCCGCTAAAGAACCGCATCAACGATCGTATAATTGCCACCACATCTGGCACTGCTTGAATGAAGAACAAAGCCAAGTACATGGCGGCAACTCCTTTTGGAGTACGTTGTACTAAAATCAGTTTTAGATTCAGGTGTTTTACAAAAGAACAAAGAGGGTAGAAGGACCCATTAGCTAACCTTATGTCTCATAATCTGCTCTCGCCCAGGCCAATCAAGGCTTCTACCCTTCCAGACGGTAAATTGGTACCAGATTCGTCTGGGAGGATAAAACACTGACTTGTACATCGGCTGGCCCCGCAAGTCATTGTATAGGCCACATCGCATTCAATAAGCCACTACGATTCTGAATGGAAGTAGAATGCGTGCATCCCACAAAGGGATTGATCAACGGCGAAGACTTTATCCTTTTATCCTCTTATGTCTCGGGTCAAACCTATAGTGTGCAGATTTAGCAAATGAAAGTAGAGTAAGTATAGATAGGAAGGGAAGGGTCACAAGGAACCTAGCAATCGGACCCTGTTCAGCTTCGAGAACCCGTATACATTTTCTCGTCGCGTTCCTTGCTTGCTTTCAAAGAGAGGAAATGAAGGGAGAGGGAAGAAAAGAGGAAAGAGAAGGAAGATTACCCAATCTCCAAAATGTCCTGATACCGGAAGTAAAGGTTTCAAAGCAGGATAAAAGGATAAAGGATGAAGTCTTCGCCGTTATCAATCCCTTTGTGGGATGCGGCACGCATTCTACTTCCATTCAGAATCGTAGTGGCTTATTGAATGCGATACAGCTTAGAAAATGACTTCCGGGGGCCAGCCCTGTACATGCTCTTATCCTCCAGGACGAAACTGGTACCAATTTACCGTCCCCCGGGAGTAAAAGACTTGGCTGGCCTGCACGAAAGAATTGAACCCACCGCGCGTGTGGGTGGTAAGTGCGCCACTTGTCGCTACACCACCTCCACCTCCAGGAACCAGGATATGAGCCGTAAATAGCTCGCACTTATACTCGATAACCCATAGATGGGTGGGCATGGACACTTCATCTGAACGAGGCGGCGGCTGGGCTTTTGGTGGGACGGGACGTTCCTCTTTTTTTTGGTTTAGTGATAACTGTAGCCATGTCTTTATTCACTCCAAGACAGGAAGAATTGTCTCAGATAGAAATATCTCGCGAAAAATGCATCTCACGTCATGTCCAAATGATGTTACAAATGGGGTCAAGAGGTAGCCACGCCTCCCTCACCCCCGGGATATGAGTGCATGCAAGTCGAAGCGGCCTCGACCGCAGGATATGACTAGGAACAAGACCGTTGGCGTCCATTTGCTTCTGTTTTGGTTAAAGGCTAGGACAAGAAACAAAGCTGCACTTACCAGGAACCCGGGAACATCTTCTCGCGTACGGATCCGAATGGTACTTTCTGTCCCAGATATTGGTGGCGAGAATTAATATGCAGATTTTCGAAATGGCTGCGCCAAGCGTTAGAAACGTGTTGCATATGAGAAAAAGAAGTAGCTGAAAACAGTCCATAATATTACCTGTTTTCGTC